ATATTGCCTAGTATCACGGCCGCGCTACGTGCAAAAATTGTTTTTTTAGGATTAAATGTTATTATGAACATAATTGTTGGTACTGAATATTGAAGGATGAATCCATAAATTATTAAGAAAGCACATTGTTGTTTATAGGAGAGTACTGTTAGAATATGGAAATTCGATCAAAGTCAACGTGACCATGACTGATTATTCAATTTGTTTTTACGTGTGACCCTTTGTAGGAAAATATTTTACAAAAAGCAATAAAACGTACCTTTGTATGAAATAAATATAGGTGTCATATATAGTAGTAGCGGGTTCCTGGGCTGTGAGAAGTATTAGTATTTTGTAGTGAGCTTGTGATATAATTATTGAAATTGTTGCTATCTCAGAAATTTTTAATGTAGTGAGTTTGTTTAGTTGTTTTGAAATTGTCGTTTTTTGACATATATTGCCTAAACATCAACTTAGAGAGGTATGGTCCACACATTGCATAGATAAAAACAAATAAACAAGGGAAAGACACATACATTAAGATAAATGAATTAAATCACATAAAAAAGGAATCATTATTTACAGTGGAGGTAAAATCAGACTCAATGCTAGTAATATCTTCAAAGGAAATCTTACAAGATCCTTTCCAATTTCTGAGACTTAGACCTTAGTGCCCGGTTGTTATTTGCAAAGACTAACACAAATATCTTTCAAACATTCTCTTCAGTCAGGTTTCAGCAGGACCAGGAGATTCTAAGTTCATGTTTAGGCTAATCAATTTCTGGGAAGCTAAAAACAATTCGAATGAAGGCATCCTACTTGGGGTCGAGATGCTGATTATTGATGAAGCGGTATGTGCCGATGCCTTATTTTCTTCCGAATTCCTAACTGTATGGCTGTCAATAAGTGAAAATAGTGAACGGAAATTTTTTAATAGGGTGAACAAAAATGTTTTAATGACGTCGTTTTTTTAATACAGGCCTACTATTTAAGATATGTTTGGGACCGCCAAGCAAAATATATGTTTCATTTGTTTTTCCACACCTTAATATATTGTTCATCACTGACTCTGTTTTGCATATTCATGATAGAGTAATCGGTTTTGTTTTTTACACAATACTTTTTAAGATATGAACTGAATTAGTTCTTTGCTTTGGTCTTTAAGGTACTGTAGCTCAGGGATTCATCCCTAAAAACCGTCTCAACTGATATGAGAATGATCTTGAACGTGGCTGTATCTACACTCTCACAAACTTCTTTGCATCCAACAACAAGGTGATGTACCGTGTGGATGATCAGAAGCTGGTTATTTGCTTCACACACACCTCTGCCCTGTCAAAGCTTTAAGAAAATAGTGAAGCCATTTTTTCCCAGCGCTTCAGGATCCACACCTTTGCAGATTTTGAAGCCAGTTTCGATCTTAGAGGAGATCTTCACGGTGAGGTTTAGTTGAGATCTTATCAACTTAAAACTCTCTGAATATTCTGTCTAACTATGTGTGTGTGTTGTAGATTTTGTTGGTAACCTTAAGCTGGTTGATGGCCATCCATCAACGTCCGGTTCTATGCCCCAAGGATGGCTCAGCTTCTCAGAAAATTTGGTCCACTTCCAGCTTGAGGTGTAAGTGTCTGTATTTCGAGCAATAAAATACATCGTTTCTTTAATAAAGATGATCCATCCAAATTTTTTTTTTTAATGTAACATACACCATATTTTAAACTGCAGAGGTCCAATTTTGAATGTTTATCTACTGGACCAGGCTGCAGAAAATTTCAGGCGTAAGATCGCTGAAAACCAAACCACCCCATCCGTTCTCTTGGTTACAACGGTTAATCCAAAAAGACTCGGTGGTAATCTTCCTCCCTCCGTACTAAACTACTCTTTCAACTCAGTTACTTAAACCTCCTGTCACATTAAATGCTTTTGCGTCATTCTGTGTGTTTCACTTAACATGGAAGTTATGTCTAAGGTCAATGTCCTCATCTAGAGTTTTTTTGGACCACGAAGTTCACCCCACCAAAGAGTTCTTCAGCTGGTAGGAATTATAATTACAGTACTTTACCACTCTTAGTCATCACCTGATCAATAGTTATTTTTTAAGGTTGGCTGCGAATTGGCTGCTGCTTCTTCAGTCAACAAGATAGAGATAGTTAAAGTTGAAACGCTCACAATACGTGGGATTGCTGCCTTCATCAACCGTGAGCCAGCTAAGGTAATCTCAATTTTTTTAATGAACCTCAAAAAACCTATGCCACCTATTAACAATATAAACATGTAATTTTAGATTACCTACTTTGACTGCATTTCCACATTCTATGATGTCAAGCTTGGCACTGAGTGGTATTACATTGCTTGCAAGGATTGTCAAACAAAGTTAAACCAGGGACCTACAACTTTCAAATGTCCAAAATGCAGAAATGAAAATGCTACATCAATAGCTAAGTAAGGGTGTGATTACTCACATATTTGCATTCTAAAATTTGTGCCATGATCCACTTTCCTGAAACTCAGTTTCTGGGTGGAATTATCCGTCTATGATAATGAGGAGCAGTCCATGTTCATCATTCTTGGAGATGCTGGGAAAGAGCTGACAGGCAGAAGAGCAACAGAGCTAATCGATAAATATGCTGAGGTGAGTGTTATTCTCCTATAGCCTTACATCTTAAGAGTCATGAAGTTGGTAACTTTATGCTGTTGTATCAGAAAAATGGTGGCGATGGTGCTGAGCATGAGGTCCCACTACCACAATGTTTCATTGATACCATAGTACAAACACACAAATTCAGGATCAAGGTGGCCCACTTCAATTTCACATCGAAGATGTCCTTGACTATTACAAAATTAGTCTCCCAGCAGTCCTACCTCCTAAAGACCGACCAGCTGAAATGCCAGCTCTGCCTCCAGCCAGTGAGGTGGATATATCAGTGGTGACTGAAAGCAGTGGTGGAGGATCTCCATATGCAAACAGTCTTCCCTCATCTATTGAGGAGCAGCAGAAACCAAAGCGCCCCAGGCGTAATGCTTAGATCATCATGAACTCATGTCACTCCATCAATGGCTGGTACAGATTGCCCAGTCAGCTTTCATTTCTAATAACAGCCTTTTCTCTTTCCCTTTTTTGCTTCTTTGCTTCTCTTCCACAGATAGTTGGCAAATCGTTTTATTGTTATACTAGTTTGTTTTTGCAACCCACGTATTGGTTATGCATATCTAAAACCTTCTATATTCTTCAGCTCCTTAAAAAGAAATTTAGTTACTTAGGACGAAACGAAGTAACAATTCTTCTTCACCCTATTATTTAGCATCAATCTTCACAAGCATTAGTAGAGCAGCACAGATTTAAAACGACCACGTTTAATATACAAAAATTTAACTGATCATAGGACCTAAATATGTTTTCCGTTGATAAACAATATCAAGAAAGGAAATTGGCACATCCCTTGCCACAAACACTGGCTGCAATCATTAAAAGGTAAATCAAATATTTGTCTCTTTAATAAGGATAACAAAATATATAAAAAAAAATTCAGTGACATTACATATTTAATACTAATTGGTTAACCACCTCAGCTCCCCTATAACATTCCCATCATCTCTCATTCACTCCCCTACAACTCTTCGTGTAAGTTCCCCGGTCAGTGGATTTCAACATTACAAAATTTATCTCTTTGGCTGACTCATTTTCCAAACATTTCCTTTGTTTAAGGGTCAGCTTGGTCAAAACCATGGTCAAACCAATCCACGCTGATCCTCCGCCTGTAGGAGGTAAATCAAACTTATCACTTTACTGGACGTCAATATATTGGACACTAACTAACCCCAATCATCTTTCTTAGCAAAACGATAAACCATTTCTCAAATTACCCCCGAAAGGAGAGGTTAACCACTAAGTTCAAAATTAACATGTATTTTATATAATTTACTAGATTTTGACCCGCGCTTTGAAAGCGCGGGATTTTTTTTGCTTACAAAAATTCTTTATAATAAAAATTATAATTCCAAATATTTTTTATATATTTTGTGAAGTTTTAAAAATTATTTATTTGTTTTAAGGTGTGTTAAATTCTGGGATTGGAAAGAATTATGACCCACCCCTTTCCAAACTTATATAAGAAATATTTTATTTGCAATTC